GGCACAGCAGCTTCCTGCGGCTCCCGCTGTCCTTCAGGAGCTGCTGGAAGGGGCAGTTCGTCCGGCTCACTCGGGGTGCCGGGGATCCAGAGCCGCCTTATCTAGCGACTGTCCCCCAGCATATATTGAGATTTTATTGGTGACAGCTTTCGGGGTCCCCCTCACGTGCTGAAGCACGGGGACCACAAGGAAGCGTAAGTCAGCGGCATGTCAGCACGGTGGGTGCTTATTTGATATGTATTGGTGAGCATTTTGCTATAGAGAATATTTTAATGTTAACAAATGTAATGTCTTCTCAGGAGCCTGATCTTCTGCTTATTCTAGTCTTGCGCAGGCTTATGTTGTGGATCTTTCAGTTTTCTGAGATCAGATTTCTGTGACAGGCTCCGTGGAAGGAGTCAAAACTTTTTCCTAAAAGAGTCCTAAAGTGTTAGCAGCAGCATATTTTATCTGTAGCGCCCATTTCATGCCTTAGCTTATTTCCTTCCTGGTTGCGTACAGCTCTGTGGACATCTCAAACTGTCCATCTGTCCTCACTTTTCTTTGATGTAGGTACTGTGCCGGTACCATCACATTTGGAACATTGATCTGCGTTTTCGTCCAGCTTTTCTGGGTGCGATAATGCAGGCAACCGGTATGTTAACTGTGTAGTCAAATACTTCACTAGTAGGACAGGCTGTCCCTGTTTTAAACGCAGACTGCTTTAAATGCAATTTTGGCACTAGTAGCAAATGAACTGTAGGATTGCTGAGCTAAGCAGTGGTTGAGAAATCGACTGCAAGCATTATCAGACTGTTAATGCTATACTCTGTTTACACAACATATTGTGCATGCCAAAATTCCTAAGTCCTAAAGAGGGTAATAGTAGTTTAATGTGATATTTTTCTAAAAGTTTTCTGTTACACTGAACACGCACATTTTCGTTTCATTGTAAGATGCTCGATGGATCAAGTATGTCATAACATAGTACATGTGACTTTATTAGAACAATTGAATCCTTGAAATTTATAACTCATAAATCAGAAAATTAACAAGTATCAATACACACAAATATCAGTAAATAAGTCTGGGGACTTAGAAGAGCATCTGTCTGAATCATCAAATCCCTGTCTAGATTATACTTTAGAACCTGGACTTTGTACTGTAGTTAAAACTGCTCTTGCTAATTAAGAGTTTGTCTGCACATTGCAAAACCAAAATAAATTAGGTTCAAACTGTGTAATTAACTTTGGAAATCCTGAACATTTCACTAAATCAATATGAAATTGCAGTCTTATTTAGGCAAATGTTTGTCTAACTTATCCAGTGCTGTTTTTTTTTCGAGTGTTGCTATAATATAATTGAAAACTTCTGCTTACCATAAAACCTCTTTTTGAAAGGTAATCAGCCCCCAGGAATGTTGCCAAAGCGTAATGATTATATGCTGAAGGATATAAAAAGGATGGGAAAATATTACCAAGTCCCTATAAAAGCTACACCAGAACACCTTCAACGTTTGCTTGGTAAAGGTAAGTAAGAGCCACAACACAGATGCTAATGCATCTGTAGTGGTTCTGGTTCAAATTCTTCATGACAGTAAAGATGAAGGTGAATTCTTTGTGGCCTCTCCCAGTATTTGTGAGCAATATGAAATCTGTGCATTTTTACTCATAAAGGGAAATTCTGAACTGCACAAATATGCTTGTGAGTGATATTAGCAGAGAAGATACTGTGAATCAATACAGGCTCTACCTTCTGGGGACAGTTGCAGGGAAGATCATCCATAGGTAGCATTTCTGCAGACTTCATCCATTTTTCTTGATCCTGTGCCTTGTTTCAGTATGTTTCTCTGTCTTTTCACCAGTCCCACTCTCTCTTGGTGCCATGCGTTTTATCACAGCCATTGATATGACACAACCACTGTTTTTGGAAGCTGTATCTAGAGGGTTCTGGATACGCTTTTGGTCACAGGTCAGTATCCTACAAAGCCAAATTATTGTTCCTTTATCTGTCTCCCCTCCAGCCCCACTTCATTCAAATATGGAGTGTGAGCAAGAGAGGAAGGAAATGTGTTTTAATGAAGCCATGACAGGAAATTTAAGATCTGTGTAGTTTGGATCCCTTACAAGAAAAGAACTAGCTGCCAGTGAGCTTACTTTGCAGTTTCTCCTGTTAGCTTTGTGCAGTGAGTTCTGAATGATGAGTGAACTAGTAGTTTATATCAGAAAGTGCATAATATATTTCTAAATTATGTGACTTTAAATCTTTTTAAGAAGGTTTATCCGGCAGGATCAACTAATATTATTTCTATTTGCTTAGAAAATTTGCTGTCAAGTCTAGAATCGAGCTTTTATTCGTAAGTATTGAATTACTTATTTTCTTCTTTCTCCAGCATGAAGATATCAACCAGCCAGCAAGTATATTGTCTGTAAGTGTCTCCCTGTTCGTTAAAGGCTGTACGGATAATAATAATAAGGATAAAAAAAAAAGGGATGGACCTATATCATGTTTCTCTAAATACTGAGTTTAAATACAGTGGCTGTCAAGCATATGTAAAATTTTGCTCTAGTGCTGTGCCACACTTGTTTGTCTCTCGGGGGTTGCCATGCACATAAATGATATGGAACTTAACATTTTTTGAGAGATACTTTATTTATATATTTTTTGTAGATATTTGTAACTTAGGTGTGACTAAATAATGTACCTTTTACTTTGGCCATTTTATGTCTGTACTGCTGGTGTAGTTACAGTATCTTTCAAGCAGTATAATTTCTCTGTGCATAGTTTCTCTGTGGCTACATTTGTCATCCATACTGTCCATTTTTTTCTTTACAGGTAAGTAGAGTAAGACTCTTGACTATCCTTTTCAGAATATAAATATATTTATTTTTATTTAATATCTCATTGAAACACAGGTTAACTCATTATTCTAATTTTCTGTTTAAGAACTCCTGCCAAAAGTCCAGATTTGGTGATTGGAAAATATTTCATACTCTTTCTATTTAGGAACTGATAAATGATGAATTGGTTGGGAAGATAGCCAGCCTATTGTTCAAGAAGTGCTTCAAGAGGTTTTCTTTTTTTTTTAGTAGTAGTAGTAGATATTGTGTGATCGACACCAAAGATTAATTAGTTCATAGTAGGAATTAAAATACTTAGAAAATTTTTAATTATGTATTCTTAGGTTGCAGCACGGACGGGACTATCATCAGAGCAAGCCCAAAAGCTGCTTGAAATGGTTTCATCCCCTGCAGTGAAGAACCGGCTAAGAGCAACAACAGACGATGCAATGAAATATGGGGTGAGATGCTTTAGCACAATTTGAGATCACAGCTATGCAGTCTTTCCCTGTTAAGAATACTACTGATGAGGGAGATCATTAGAAAGCACTAAAAAGATCTTCTCTGAATCTCTTTTGCTTTTTGAACACGTGAAGCTACTTCATTATTACTTAGTTTATTGTATTGTCACATGGGAAACTAAGGTCTGACCCATTCCAGCTCGATGACAAGGATGGGAGGAACAGTACAGGACCGGCACTGTGTGACACTGTTCACTGCTTTACATAAAGCTTTGGGTTTAGTGGCGGGGTGGGATTGCTCAGTCACAAAGGGCTCACCGACTTTGCGTCCTGTCCTGTGATGGTTACATCAGACTGGTGTTTAAGAATGAAGAAGGTGAAAAGAAGGGGAAGAAAAAGGTCAATGTTTTTTGTTGTTAGTCCTGAGGAGTGAGTGGTCATTTATCTACAAAAAAATTATTTCATAACATTAGTTATTTAATCTCTATGGTGTAAATAGGCATTTGGGATGCCGGCTATTGTGGCACATTTTAATGAAGAACAGCATCTCTTTTTTGGCTGTGATCGTATAGAGCTGCTAGCAAGTATTATAGGTCAGTGTACTTAATCTCACTATAAGTTTCATGTTTTTACCTTCATTTAATGAAATATGGAATACAGTTAAATGAAACACTCTTAATATGTTTTGAATATTGAATTAGGTTTAATATTCTTCTTGTGGGGGAAAACTGTTGAATGTAGTATCACACAATTGCAGTGACCAAAGATGTAGTTCTCTTCCAGATAGGTAGTAGGTTCAGTGCGGAAATCCCACTGGTATGTTTTAAGACATTCTTTTGTACATGCAATTTTCAAATTAACAATGTGATATTGGGCCTTAGATTTTGGTTCAGTTTAAGACTATAGGCAACAGTCCGCTAGTTGTAGCTTTAGTATTGTCATCTTAAATCTGTTCCTTCTTAATAAAAAGTACATTATCACAAATTTCCAGTTCTGTAATTATATAGATACACAACTATAACTGTAATTATATAGACACACAATTCCTATATTGACATTCCTATTGGATGTATATGTCCTTGTTTTCATTTTTCTGTTAAGAAAATCCTTTTAATTTTTTTTTTCAGCTGTGATAACTATATAGAACTCAGTCACCCACTGTTATTTGAGTTAGAGGGAAATTGACTGTTGATCTCAGATTAGAGAATCACTTGCAGATTAGGAAAGCAACCGTGAGAGTTATGAACCTAACTAGCTGTGATGCTGTGTTGAAAAGCTGCAGCAGAAAATTAAAATTAGTTGTAGGATTTACATAATGTTTTGGAGGTTTTTTGAGATTTCTTTTCTTTTCTGGATGGGTCTACAAAAATATTCTCAATGAAGATAAGATTGAGGAAGATTCACTTTCCAAATCACCAATCCCAGCTGAATTGTCATGACCTGATTTTTAGTCCCCACTTCAACCAGGGCAAAGACTTAGCAGATTTTCTTCTTGTTCTTTTATCTCTCTCTCCAGTCTTCCATCTTTCCCTCCTCCTCAACCATCAGCCATTCAGAAAAGGGATGCTAGAAAGAATGGGCTTCCTCCTTATCTGGAGTGCAACAGGTTTGCAGAACCTCTTATCTGTGATAGGGGAAAAAAAAATCCTATTTTGTACAGCTCCAGCTATGACTGGAAAGAGAAAGATTCAGGAGATTGGCTGAAGAATGTCAAACGATAAAAATCTATATCTCATCATCAGTAGTTACCCTTCAAAAGAAGGGAAAGAACAGTCATCCTGATACAGAAACACAAAATGCCAAATTACTTCTGTGTATTAAATTTTAACCTCTTTTGTGCTGGTTCATCTTGCAGGAGAAAAATGGCTGGGACCAGTTCCTTCACTTCCAAACTCCAAGATGTGAGAAGTCCAGGGGAAAAACAGAAGAAAATATATATACTGTGTTTGTGTGTGTGTGTGTATATGTGCTGATATATATGTATGTTTGCATACATATATGAATATATAAAATAACTAACAGTTGTGTTTTCCATACAGAACATCTCAGAGATACAGCATTTATGAAAAAATGGTCAAGCTCTGGTGGTTAATTGAATGCAGAGAGAATAATGGACAGATGGCTGTCTCTAATAATTTTACAGCACAGTCTCATCTCACTGTAAGAGGAAGTTTGAGGTTTGCCAATATTACTTCTCCGGTCAATTCTTTGCAAGCACCAATATACTTCTTTTCTCTCAGCAAATTTTCTGAACACTGAAGTTTTCTTACAGATCTTTCTTACATTCTCCTTTTTGGTTAGTTTTCCTCTCTCTTACTCTAAAAGCATGAGGATTAACAGTTGTTTCAGTACTGAGATTGTCACTGTGTAGAGATTTCTTGTATCTTTGTGAATATACATATATTCATATACATCTATGACACAGAAACACAGCCTAAGAAAGCTTGGCCATATTCTTTTATTTTAAGTCCATGATATTATGCAGATACTTCAAACATGAAATAAGGTATTTATGCTTCCTTTAATGTTTCCTCTGTAACATGACAACTGGAGGGAACACTAGAGAGAAGACTGTAAAGGGACAAATCAATCACAAAGGAGAATCTGAGAATGCATCAAGTACTTCAGAAGGTGCAATCCCCCACATAAACAGTAGTTTATACATTTTGCACTGCAGTAATTGACATTTCACAGAATCACAGAATTTTGGAAGGGCTCTCTAGAGATCATCTAATCCAATCCCCCCTGCTCAAGCAGGGACACCTAGAGCACGTGGTACATGGTTGCATCCAGGCAGGTTTTGAAGATCTCCAGAGAAGGAGACTCCACAATCTCTCTGGGCAGCCTGTTCCAGGGCTCTGTCACCCTCACAGTAAAGAAGTTCTTACTCATATGGAGATGGAACTGTGTTTCAGTTTATACCCCCATTACCTCTGTCCTGGCCACCATCGAGAAGCATTAGGCCCCATCTTCTTTACATCTCTCCCCCTCAGGTATTTATACATATTGATAAGATCCCCTGTCATTTTACTCTTCTCCAGGCTAAACATGTCCAGCTCACTTAGGCTTTCCTCCTATGACAGATGCTCCAGTCCCTTAATCATCTCTGTTGCTCTACACTGGACCGTTTCCATAGAGGAAGTTCCACATCCCTCTTGTACTAGGGAGTGCAGAACCACACACAGTATTCCAGGTGCAGCCTCACCAGAGCTGAGGAGAGGGGCAGGATGACCTCCCTCAACCTGCTGGCAACACTCCTACTAATGCAGGCCAGGACTCCCAAATCCCTCTCCGTGGAACTGCTTTCCAGCAGATCAACCCCTAATCTGTACTGGTGCCTGGGGTTATTCCTGCCCAGGTGAAGGACCCTGCACTTTTCCTTGTTGAACCTCAGGAGGTTCCTCTCTGCCCAACTCTGCCAACCTGTCTAGGTCCTTCTGAATAGCAGCACAGCCCTGGGGAGCATCGGCACTCCACCCGGTTTGTTACCATCTGCAACTTCCATGCATTCTAATGGATCAGGCCCAGCACTTTCACGGGAGATTTCATTAATGCTAAGTTTACAGTAAAGTCGTTAGAGGACACTGATGAATATCATGTATATTTAGTTGATAACTGAACTAGACTGTGGTTTCCTTCCTCAAGGATGGACTAATTGCTGCCTATCCAGAGGAGATTCTGGAGTATGGCTATGAGGGACATCCTATCATATAGTCTGCAAGGAAAAAGATAAGCAAACAATAATACACTTGAACAAACTTGTACCAGGTTTCATTTCTCACTGATTCCTGGCTGCCTTTGATGCATCGCTGGAGGAAGGAGAAAGACTAGCAGTATCTGGAATTTCCATTTTATGTCTTTCTCAGCTTTAAGGTGAAGCATCTCCACACTCACATGCTTGACAGCAAACCCTAGAACAAAACAGCAGAAAAAAAATCCTTCATGTTCTTGCAACTGTTCCTTACATCCTTTTTCAGCTTTTATAGGAAATATCCTCTAATTAGAGAACTTCCTTCTTACTTTCACCAGTCTATCCATTAGTCTCTGGGTAGACACAGCATGAAATTTAAGGAAAACTTTGTGAACTAAGAGCCTACATTCAAACAGACGTTAGAAATACAGGGAAGTTGTATGCATTTGGATACTGTAAGTGCAGTTTCTTTAAATCCCTTAAGTCATGTCAAGAGTTTTTTTATTATTTTCTCTGAAATTTGCTACTCCTGAGATTGAGCCTCAGGACTGATTCTGAAGCTGTGATAAAACTGAATGACTGAGATACCATTTTTAGGCTGATCACCCCCATGATCTGTTTTACAGCACGGTCTCAGAAAAGTTTGGAAAGCACAAATGTGGAAGTAATGAACTGTAGTGCAAAGGTGAGGCAAGTGCAAAAAAAAAATCATAAATTAACCTCTTGGCCAAACACAGGATCTTATGAAACTATTCTCTGATCAAGATTGACTGTAAAGCACCCGCCTCTGGGACAGAATTTGTGGATAATGCAGATGGGCCAAATGAGATGATGAGATGGCCAATAGAGACTGATTCATACTTCTCAAAATGATCTTCAAGGCCCTCAGTCCCATCTGAAGTCAGTGGGAAATACATGCTCAAGGCTTCAGGTACTAACATATACCATTTATACACTACTGAGATTAACAAAATCAAAATTTGGTTCTTTCCTTACATTGCTTATTACTTGTGATCACACAGAATCACACAGAATGTTTAAGGCTGGAGGAAACATTTGGAGATCACCTAGTTCAAGCTGCACAAGCAGGGTCACACAGAGAATGTGCTCTGTGTGGAGGATTGCATCCTGGCAAGTTTTGAGCACCTCCAGAGAAGGAGATTCCACAACCTCTCTGGAGAAACTCTTACAGAGCTTTCATGCTCACAGTCAAGAGGTTTTTCTCAAATTCAGGCAGAACTTTCTGTGTTTAATTTTGTGCCAGTTGCCTCTTGTCCTGTTGCTGGTCACCACTGAAAATAGTCTGGCTGCATCCTCTTGACACCCTCCATGAAAATATTTGTATACATGATAAGATTCCCTCTCAGTCTTCTCTACTTCAGGCTAAACAAATCCAGCTCTCTCAGCCTCAATAGTGGTACTAATTATTTAGTGATTACAGCCTTTGCAGTTCTTCCGGGGGATATGTACATTGTTGCTAAGCTCATAATTTACAACTGTACTTAGTGTCAGCAAAATTTCCTGTTTGGGAGAGAGATTTGAGCTAGTTCTCTTTAGGTAACCTTAATCCTGTGTAACAGTAGAATGCTGATTGGAAGCATGAGCTTTTGTCAGCAACCCTGCAGATTACCCCAGGAAGTCCTAGCTGGCAGCTATCCTGTCATTCTCAATGCAGATCTTTAGCATAGCAGGCATTATGATGTCTCAGGATTGACCACGAGTTTCTTTACCTAGCTTCCCTTTTTGATCTGGCAATGTCAGTCCACTGGGACACCAACAGGCAGCACTATATGAGGAGTTCAACTGTTTATCTCACTGCTCTGAATGTCACCAGGTGGCTGGGCATTATTTGAAAAACCATTAAGGATCTCATTCGTTGTGCCTTTTTTTAGCAGGCCCAAAGGTAGGTGCTAACCAGTAACAGAAACTGGCAGCTAGATAAGACACAGCCTAATTTCTTTGAAACAAACAAACAACCCTCCCTACAAAAAAAAAAAAAAAACCCTCCTCTATCTAACTACAGAGCAGGCTAGTTTCTGAGAGCCTTAGATCACTTACACCAACACAGCATGTTGTTTCGCTGTCAAGCCAGAGAACATACTGGGCAGAGAGAGCAATTTTTGAGTTTAAAGAAACAACTCTCAAAAATGTTGGCAAAACTGGACTTAGAATCTAGGGAACGAAATTGGAGCCTGTGTTCCCCTTTGCCTGTTGAAGATCTCTCCAGGAGATACAGTCCCATTTCCTTTCTGGAGAAGCTGTGCAGCTGATGCAGAGAAGTGGGTTCACCAATGCTAGCTGAAAGCATACAAGCAAGTGCAGAAATATGCACAAAGTCAGCTGGCCATGAAAGGTCATACAGAGAAGAATGTATAGGATTAAGTGTATTTACTGTGAAGCTGTATTTTTAAGTGTTCTTTTAATGATGGGCCAGAAGACTCTTCCACCCCGAACCACTGGCCTACAGTTCTATATCAGTTACCTGTGCTTCTTACCCAGTATGTGCTGAAACAATCCTTCAGCGATGGTGGTTTTCACACACAGCACAAAATGGAGACCTGCAGGACAAGGCAGTTCTTTAACCTTCCCTTACAAGCACCTTCTCGTCCTTTGAACCCTGAACAAGCAAATTAAGTTCCTCTCTTTCTCCCCTACCCTTATCTCTGTGCAAAAAAGAAGGAAAGACATTGTATTAAAGCACTTACTGGACTATGGTGTTCAGCATTTCCTTCGCTGCCCTTTCCTTTTTTGATGGAGCCAGCAACACTGTTGAAAGGAAGCAACAAGCTTTCTGGAAGGAAGCAAGCAAAAAACAATTAAAAGATAATGAGAAGAGTATCGCAGCACAAATAGCTGTTTTTTACCCCAAAGTTTTCTCAAATCTGTGGCTCATCCAGTTACAGCAAATATTAGAGACACTGGAGTTTATCCACATGACTAATGCTACCTTGAACTATTCATCTTTCTACCTGAATAACAAAGAAAATGACTACCCATCTTTCATTTAATACTAAAAATTAAAGAAGAAACAAAAGAAACAGGTAAGAATGACTTTAATGACACAGCTATCCACCATTCAATCAGGAAAGCTAAGGAGGCTGTAAAATTTAGTTAATGAGGGATTCCTGCAGTAAGATGGTAGCTGAGATCTTCCTGAACTGAACCTCTTCTTTTTGAACATTACATGATCATAACAATATTCATTAGGGGTCAGATGAGAGAAAATGCTTCAGCAATTTTTCAAAGGTAGACTTTCCCTCTCAGC